GAATTTCACAAGAAATCCATTAGAGGCATAAAATACGAGTTTCGGGATTGTTTGGCAGGAGAAACGAGTCAAAATAACTGGCAAAAAAATTAGGGGTTGCTCATTCGGTCATATTTTGAGTTGGGGAGCTCGGATTTGGGCGATTTTCACCATAGGGATTGGGATAAGTGTTCTTTACTCGGTTTTAGTTATATTTCATGAATCCATCTTCATTTTTGGGATTTGATTGATGATTTCAAAGTGAAATTGAGGGAGTTAGGGCTTGAGTTTTTGAGAGTTTTAGGTAGGGATTTGAGGGACCAAACGGAGTCCAATTTTGATAAATTTTATATGGATAGACTCGGGAGAGGATGAGGTTTATTATTTTGCCATTTTTGACTGATTCTGAGATGTGGGCCCGAGGCCAAGTTTTGGCCGATTTCGAATTTTTGGCCTATTTTTGTAGTTTTTATTGTGGAATTCGATTCTCTAGCCATGTTGATAATTTTATTCTGATTATAGTTAGATTCGGAGTTTTTAAAGACCGAGTCCAGAGACGAGGGCATCCCAGAGTAGGATTTTACGTTGTTGAGGTAAGTAACAGTTTTAACTCTGGCTTTGAGGGTATAAACCCGGAGAATTTTATATCATGTGATTGTGTGGAGGTAATACCCATGCTAGGTTACGGCCGTGTAGGTGTACACCGCGAGTGATTGAGACTTGGTCCGTCCCGTGAGGCTGTGAGGCCTGATGGCTATCATTTGTGGTTATGTGTTTACTTGTTATTGAACTTGATTGTCTTCATGTTAGCGATCATGCTTAGGCTTTATTCATGCTCACATTATTTGTACTCAGTCATAGAAATTATTGTATATATTTACCTCAGTCTCTATTATTTGCTATATATGTTGTGATACTTGATGTGGGTTGTGTTTCCTTATTTGTTGATGATGGTGAGGCTAGTGAGGTACATGATTGAGTAAGTCCGAGGGCCTGGTTATGCGGATATTGATACCATAGCGCGTGAGTTGTCCGCGTAGCACGTTAGTTGACTGTGCGGGTCCAAGTATTGATACCATAGCGTGTGAGTTATCCGCATAGCGCGTGAGTTGTTCGCGTAGCACGTGAGTTGACCGTGCGGATCTAGGTATTGATATGATGGCACGTGAGTTGTCCGTACTTAGCTCTTGGGCTTTGGGAGCCCCTCCGGTGTCTATACAAACCTCTAGTGAGCGCAGAGTATTGAGTATATTGAGTGTTGAGTGTTGAGTGCTGACTGCGAGTGCTGAGTGATGGAGTGACATTGCTGTGAGGTTGCATTTACTTTTGTTGTTGCTGCATTTATCTGTTAAATTTCTTTGTGGCATTTACTGAGTCATGGAATTTACCTGTTTATTCTTGTTATTTTTAAAATTGTGAAAAATAAATAATTGGACTGTTTTTCTTAGCTTGTCACTACTGCTTAGTTCCTTAGTTATTTCTGTTACTTCTGAGTCAGTTATACCCATACTACACCTTGCACTTTATGTGCAGATTCAGGTGAGTTAGAGTGCGGCGATCGTTGATTTCAGGTCGGCTATCTATGGAGATTGCAAGGTAGCTGTCAGCGTCCGCAGGACCTTGTTACTCCTTTTGTCATTTCTTCTTTTGGACAGTTAGATAGTTTATATATCTTAATTTATAATTTTAAACGCTCATGACTTAGTGACACCCGGATGTTTGGGGCTCGTTTCTGTATTTTTCTATATTATATTTAGAGATGATTTAGTTTATGAGAAATTTAAATGTTGAAATATTTTATTAATTTCTTATAATCGATTTAGTAGTAGTATTTTGGGAAGTAGGCCTTAAAAATCACTTTCAGCATCACCTTGATTTGTGTGCGCAGTCCGGACGCGTAGCCGGAAAGCCATTATGTCAAAAATTTTGAAAAATGATGAATTTTGACTTTAAAATGAATTTAAGTTGACTTTGGTTAATATTATGGCTAAAAGGACCCGGACCCGTGATTTGACGGCCCTGGAGGATCCGTAGGAAAATATGGGACTTGGGCATATGCCGGGAATCGAATTCTGAGGTTCCAAGCCCGAGAAATGATTTTTTTAAAGAAAATTATTTTCTAGAATATTTATGAGTTTTTGAAAATGAAATGTGTTTAAAACTTGATGGTATCGCGCCCGTATTTTGGTTCTAATGCCCGGTACAGGTCTTATATGTGGTTTAAGATAAGTCTATGAAATTTGGTAATAAACGGACTTGAGATGACGTGAATCGGATCGTATTTGAGAAAATTAAAAAATTGGAAGTTCTTAAGAAATTTCATCATTTTGATGTTAAATTCATAGTTGTTGATGTTATTTCAGTGATTTGAATGCACGAGCAAGTCCGTATGATGTTTTTAGGGTGGTGGGCATGTTTGGTTTGGAGCCCCGAGGGCTCAGTTGAGTTTTGGATAGGCCACGGAGTAGAATTGGACTTGGAAAAAATAGCAGGTTTCAGTTGTTCTATTGCAAGCCTACAGGCTTCTCGCAAATGCGAGGGCTGGGTCGCAAATGCGAACTAGCCCAGGCTAGCATTCCCTCGCAAATGCGAGTTTTCCATCGCAAATGCGATGCACCCCCAGTTACTGCTGTATCGCAAATGCGACTTCGCATTTGCGAGAGGTCTATCGCAAATGCGACATTTTGTTCGCAAATGCGAAGGTCTCAGAATTCTGAAGGAATTGCGACATTAGAGACCTGTAAACTCATAACTTAGACAAATTTCAATCATTTTTCACACTCTTTCAAAACCAAAACACCCTAGGTCGATTTTTCAAAGGCAACTTCTTCTCCAAATCAATTGTAAGTCAATTTTAACTTGTTTTCTTCAATCATTAACATCTTAACAACTTTTCACATGATTTCAACTCAAAAATCAATGATTTTCATGGGGGAAATTGAGTGTTTTGGGTGGGACCTAGGCTTTTTAAAAATTGGGGATTTGGACCTCGATTTGAGGTCCGATTTCAAAACAAATTATATATTTGAGTTTGTGGGGGAATCAGTAATCGGGTTTTGGTTCGAACCTCGGGTTTTGACCATGTGGGTCCGGGGGCGATTTTTGACTTTTTGGATAAAACTTTAGAAAACTTATTTTCATGCATTAGAATTGATTCATTTAACGTTTATTGATGTCATTAAGTAACTTGTGGCTAGATACGAGCGAATTAGTGGTGGAATTAAGAGGTAAAACGATAGTAGAGACTTGAATTGTGTTCGTGGCATCGAGGTAAGTGTTTGGTCTAATCTTAGCTTGAGGGATTAAGAGTCGAGTTCTATTTGCTATGTGGTATTTGTCGAGTATGACGTATAGGCATGGTGACGAGTATCTATACGTTGGTGTAAAGCATGCCCGTGAGTCTTATATTGTGATTATTCTGACTTTGTTGTATTATTCATGCTTTGTTGATGATTTCTATTGTTGGGCAAAGTTTGTGGAAATAATTGTGACATTTGAACATTGAGGAACGTTGGATCAAGTTGTATAATAAAATGTGAAAGTATAAGTGGTAATTGAATCTTTTGGAGCATTGGCTCAAGTTGTGAAGTGAGTTGTGAGGTAAAAGTGAGGAAAAGAAGAGAATTATTACGCGGCCTCCCTTGCCGGGATATTGTTGCCATTGATGTTATCTCCCTTGCCGGGATGTTGATGTTCCTTTTGATGTTGTTCCCTTACTAGGACTTGATTGTTGAACTATTGTTTCCTTGTCGGAATTCTTATTGTAATTTCATTTATGCCCTTGCCCTATTATTTGTGATTGTTGTTTGGGTGAGAAAGAGTGTCAAAGTACGCAGGGTGATGTCGTGTATTGTTTTGGTAAGAGTGTGTTAAAGCACGAAGGGTGATGCCGTATATGATTTGTGAGGAAAGAGTGTAAAGCACGAAGGGTGATGCCGTATATGATTTGTGAGGAAAGAGTGTAAAGCACGAAGGGTGATTTCGTGCCGCATGATGTACCATTCTTTGCCGATTATATTGATTATATGGTGAGGACGAGAGTAAAAGCACGAAGGGTGATGCCGTGCACATTTTCATTACTTGATTGCTTTGGTGAGGACGAGAGTAAAAGCACGAAGGGTGATGTCGTGCACTTATTGATTTCTGATTCTTTATTGATATCTGAGATATGTTGTTTCTTTCAATTACCTGATGTCTTTCTATTCTAAGTTGATAGTTCCCCCGCAGCATGTTACCCCTCACATACTTGACTGTATATTAATGTTCTTCTTTTTCGCTGTATTTAGTTAAATTGCACAGGTTTATTTGGTAGCACTGTGTGCAGATCCCGGAGCAGCGGCTTTTGGACCGTAGATTGGGTGGCTACCTTCAGTCCACGCGGAGATCCAAGGTAGTTCTGCAGGCGTCCGCAGACCCTGGCGTCTCCCTCTATCCCTTTACTTATGTTTCATTTACTTAGTTCAGAAACAGTGTATCTTTTATCTTTTAGACTTTGTATGTAGTATTCTTAGATCGTCTGTGAAACTGTGACACCAGTTCTGAGTGGTCGAGGCTCAAACAGTTGTATGAGATTCATATTTTAGATAGTTTACTGTATTTCTTCCACTTATCGTAATTTCCGCTGTCTATACGTTATTGCTTTATAATTGTTAAAGAATATAAACTGGAAAAAGGGTAATTTGTTCAAACAGTCGGCTTGCCTAGCTCACATTAGTAGGCGTCATCACGACTCCCGATGGTGGAAAATCCGGATCGTGACAGTAGGCTTGTCTTGTAACGCGATAGGCACCATCACGACCATGGTTAGATTTTGGGTCGTGACATTAAAATACATATTTCTTGCCATCAAGCGACAAACAGCTTTTCCAAATCTTGCTTTTAGTCTATCCCACTCTAAAATTTTCATTATCTTCTTAGCTAACACTGATAAATATCCGTTAAAAATAGATTGTCACCACAAGTCCATAACAAATCAGAATCATTCTCAGCGGGTTCATTTTTTCCTATTAATTGGTAAGAAATAACCCAAAGAAGAATAAATTAACTTTATTTCATGCAAATTAGGTAGTGTATACCTTTTACATCAGAGTAGAGTATGACTTATATGCTATCTTCATAAGAGATCCTGAGCTGATATATGATACACAACATATGCAAAAAGGCAAAGGATAACATACTTAAGAGCTCACTGTACAATTAATTGCCTAGGCACTACTAATTAACTTCTCTAATGCTCCTTCCATATACGACCTGTGACTTTCAATGTAAGCTCTTGTCCATTATTCCCACCAGAAAAGAAAAGTGCCAAGCTTCTTGGAATAATAAGTCCATCTTGACAGTCGCGAACTTTTCTGTGGCTGTCTCGGATACTCCTAGGAATACCTTGCCATGTCAATTTACGCCCAAAACCACCAACTTCTAGACTATACTTGAACATTTTGGCTTCATTGTCCTCGCCCATAAATCGTAGAAAGGCCATGTAAACTGGTGTCATACCAAGTGAAAATGCCTCAAAGTGCAAGCAGAACTGTTTTCCATAACAGTCGAAAACCTGCATTGTGTAAAAGATGTCATTGTGCAATCTGGGAGTCGTAACATAGAAATGTAAGGCTTTTATAATGACTCAGGCTCAACTATCAAGGTATTGTCGCTCCGACCTAGCCTTTGAGGCCTCAGTGTTTTGTCCCCTTGGAAGTTAACGCAAAGGGTGCCTCAACTGTTAAATTCCTAAACTCACCCTTTTTAGGCTCCTAACTTTTCCCTCTCATTCCAATGTGGAATTTGCCTAAGGCAAGCTTCACAAATCACAACGGACCCCCTCGAGTTCAACCATTAGCACTCCTTTGGGCTGTTATAGTCTTTCTTTAAACACGAATACAAACATTCACCAACAAATCCATAAAAAGAGAAATAGTCTATTTTCCCCTGAGAGAAGTANGTCAACTTCCTCTGGATTTGATTTGACATATCGATGATTGAAGGTACATCCAGTATGCATGTCAACCTTGTGGTCCTCCTTAAGATGTAACATGAGTGTTGGAATGTCCCCTTTTATGGAGCACTCTGATCCAGCATATGGACAATGGTAAGGCCGAAATTTACAACGTTGTTCATGTTTAAGCTTCCGATAGTAGGGTAATATTTTGTGACAGCCAAGATTTTGATGTCTGCAGGGCAATTCCAATGATTCTGCCACTTTCTCCAAGGCTAAACACCTTATGTTTCCAAGTTCAACTTGGCAAGTAGGGCAGAAATTATGTGCTCCAGTCTTGCAGTTGGTGCATAGCGTATGGCCATTTGGACACTACATGGATTATATAATATGAGATACAAAGATTGGAATACAAAATACAAGTGCTTATCTATCAGCAAATAAAGCTATATTTATAGGTCTTCTACAAGCAATCTGTTGTAGAAGTAAGAAACTTCCTCATTATAGGTGATATCTAGAGTTTGTTCAACAGTTACAACATGTTTAGAGCTTATGTCTATACCAGTAGTAAAATACTCCCTTGTGAACTTATTCGCTTTTGGTCCTTGCCAAAAAAGAATGACCATTTTTCATATTTGGAAATAATTTACCTTTATGGAATAATTTATAGTCACACAAAATATATGTGCCTTATTTTTATTACTTCTTAAACTCTGTACCTAGTCAAGTAGGTTACATAAATTGAACAGAAGGAGTATATATGTTTGTCAGTTGGAAATTCAACAAAGAAACAGAGTTTCAAAATTTACCGCTTCCGCACTCAGGTGGATACTTTGGAAAGAAAGAAATTGGAGAAATCTTGCAAATTCTTATTTTAGCCACATATAAACACTCTTTTGTATGCTCTTGGATTACACTTAGTATCCTACTTGTATATGGAGACAGGATTTCAAGTTTATGATTCGGGATTCTAATCGTTTTAAGTTAGTGGATTTTAAATTAATAATTTAAATATGTTTCAATGAATTTTTTAAGACAAATACAAAGTTGGAACCAAAGCTACTAAGTTCGGCCGAACCCGCTCCCCGTACTCTAGCTCCGCCCCTGACTGTATAGATGACCGGGTTCTGTACAGCTATAGTATCTTAATGTGATGTGTTAACCCCAGAATATCCATACTATGCCACAACTATTGTTATAAACCTAATGTGCAGTTTCATAGTGTAACTTCAAATTGTTAGGTGTTTGCTATAATTTTCTTATCATATTTGATTTTCTTATTTGTTGAAGGAAAGAGCAATATAATTACCTTAATTGGGTTTTCCTTTTTGTAGAAGGAAATTATAATTCTCCTATACTTGGCTAGTCTTTTTTCTTGTAGGAAAAGGTTTGGAGTTCTATAAATTGAAGATTCGTCCTTCTCATTCAGTAGCATCCACAATGTAGTCATAGGGGCTTGAGAGTAGTATTTAGGGGGAGAACTTTACAGGACAAGTGTTAGTGTGTCACTTGTGTTTGCCTCTTCGTGAGGTTGTTCTCTCGATATTTTGTACTCTCTTTTTATATAGTGGATTGCTCATCTCCGCGGTGGACGTAGGTTAATTGACCGAACCACGTTAAATGTTTGTGTCTCTTTTGGTATATTTCTCCTTTGTTGTATGATTTATCGTCGTTCAAGGTTTGCTTTGCTAGCTTCCGCATGACACCTGCTTTTTACGGTCCTAACAAGTGGTATTAGAGCGAGGTTCAAGACAGGTTCATCTTGGCGGGTTCAGTTCTAGCCGCAACATATTTGACGATAATCGTGATTTTTGTCTGAGAAATTTGACGGGTGTGCTACGCACGTTGAGACAAACTTTGTGGTGGAGATTTGGAGATGCAACCTGTTGAAGGCTTTGTGAAGAAGATGGATCAAATTTATTTTGTCAAAAAATTCCGGCCAAGGGAGAGAATTGTTAGGTGCTTGCCATAATTTTCTTACCATATTTGATTTTTCTATTTGTTGAAGGAAAGGACAATATAATTACCTTAATTGGGTTTTCCTTTTTGTAGAAGGAAANATTCAAGGTTTGCTTTGCTAGCTTCCGCATGACACCTGCTTTTTACGGTCCTAACACAAATTGCAACCCAAATTTTTCTAGGGGAAGTCAGCAAAAGCAACCCCTTGTAAGTTACTATGTTGAGTCATTCATCTGCCTAAGCCTTGGTCGACAAAGTCACCCGGCAACTGTACAGGTGTGAGACTAGACGTTAAAACAGTCTAGGTGTGCGCAAGTTAGTCCAGACACAACCGTTATAAGAAAAGAAAAGAACAACCACATAAAGAGTACTAACCTGGTAAACTGGAGGATACAAGGACCTTGTGCAGATTGGGCACTCAAGCAACTCATGAACACCATGAATTGAAGACTTTCGAAACTTTTCACCTAGAAATGTGATACTTTTCTCTAGCTGTGTATTTGTTGTGTCACAACTTGTAAAATTTGGCCATGTTTCTATAATTTCCTTGCGACTAGCACCACCTCCAGGAGCCATTCTAAACTTGGATGATATACTTGTATTTGCACTACTTAAATAGCCAAAGATTAAACACTGTAAGTTGCTGACTTGGTGAGTCTAGTCTCTGGTCTCTATAGACACAGTTGAAAGACTAGAAAATCAAAGGGAGGAAGCAACGTTAAAATTACGCTAAGAATACCATATATACTGGTGCAAGTTCAGATGCCCATTTTGACTTAGTTTTTTTGTGGAAAAGACAAAAAGAGAGAAACAGTGAACCAGTAATTATTGAGTGGGGACTTTAGTCTGCTATTTTTTTAATTAGCTCGACATGTAATTTCTCATCCTTCTTGTTTTTTCTCATTTGGGTAGATGAGGTAGGTACAACTTTGAACTAATTTAGACCAAATAGATTCTTTCAACAACCTAATCACAAAATAAAAAATGAGCTTTTTAGATTATTGATTATCTCAAACTCAAAGAAACAACAAATGACCAAACACAAACTCCAAAGTATACAACAACACACCCAGTATTATTCCATACCATAAGGTCTGGAGAGGATAATGTGTACGCAGACCTTACCCCTATCTTGTGAGGACCGAGAGACAAACTCCAAAGTATATTAGCTCAAAAAGTATTTTAGATGCATTCATCTGTATACACTTAATACCTCCACTCGGCAAAAAATGTTTTCAGAATAAGAAGACTTGAACCAGGCCTAAGGAGGCAAAATTTAATGTTGTAGAGTAAATTATTTAGCAGCCGGATTCAGAATTTGAAGTTTATGAATTCCTATAGGCCATAACGATCTTAAGTTAATATACAATAATTACTGGATTTACAGTCAAATATATATAAACATTTAATGGATTTCTTAATATATATACAAGGTTTGAGCAAAAAAAGCTATTGGGTTAATATTAACCCATAAGTTACTAGCTACATCCGCTTCTGCTCTCTGCTTGCTACCTCCACCAAGCGCAGGTTTCGGTGTACTTTGAAAATGCTGATTTCTTATGATTTTAAACTACTTTATTAACTGCTAGACCACACGTTTGAGTGCATTTTTTTTTCTTTTCTTTTTTTAATTTTTATTTCTTTTTTGATCTATGAAGTAAGAACATCAGAACTCCATACTTGTTGGGTACCACAAAAACTATAATAATAAAACTGTCATATAAAGACATATACTATATTCACACAGAGACAATTCAATGAATTGATAGCCCAACCAGCAATCATCAGGACCACCCTTTCCTGCTTTCCTTAATCTAAAATTTAGTGTTTTAAATGAAATCAACCAAAAGGACGAAAACTAAAAGGTCCTTTAGATTATTAAGTATTATTTTTTTTTGCTATCTATCGTATGTCCCCTAGGGACCCTTTATTAGTTTTATTTTGTCATCATGCACCTTTCTTTCAATCAACCAATCCTTTTCAATTTTCATGTTTAAAGTTTAAACTCAAAATGGTTTTTTTTGCAGAAAGCTCAGTTGCTTATTCACAACACGCCAATGTGTGTATGTGTGTGTATATATATATTTTTATTTTTTTACTCTTTTTTTTTTTTTTTTGAAAGAGCAAATAAATAAATGGCACAACTTGATACCTCGAGTGCAAATTTGGAGTTGAGCCGACGGAAGCGGGAGTTGAAGTGAGGCTTGACTCTCAAGTCATTCCCAAGAGGGGTAGTTTCAAGTACCTTGGATCGGTTATTCAGGGGATCGGGGAGATTGACGAGGATGTCACACACCGTATAGGGGTGGGGTGGATGAAGTGGAGGTTAGCGTCGGGAGTCTTGTGTGACAAGAAAGTGCCACCGTTACTAAAAGGTAAGTTTTATAGAGCAGTNACAGGGAATTATGGAGGTCGAGCATTAAGGTTGTAGGTTAGAGGAAACTTGTGAATATTTTACAGCACAATAGAGTGAGACTAGCTAGTTAGGAGTTAGACTAAGAATGTCATTGGTCGTCTATTGATGCAGGGCTTTACCTGCTAGTTTTACTATACCAGCCATATATTTCGTATTTCGTATTCTGTATTTTATATCTCTTATATTGCTATTATTTTATTATGCATTTTTATGGTACTAACATATCGGCTCCTGTTGCTTTTCTTTTTGAGTCGAGGGTCTCCTGGAAACAGTCTCTCTACCCTTCGGGGTAGGGGTAAGGTCTGCGTACATATTACCCTCCCCAGACCCCACTTGTGGGATTATACTGGGTCGTCGTTGATGTTGTTGTTGTTGTGATAAGTACGTGAACGCTATCATGCATAAATACATTGAGAGAAATGAAAAGGTGAACGAATGCTTGTGATAGACTTCCAAAGAAATTGGGATCCTTACCCAAATAGACAGTATACGTAAATTATCCATTAATTATATACGATTACAAATATTTATACATAAATTAAACATATGATATACATCTTTAGGATTTTTTTAGGGCGGCGATTTAAGTTAGTCCGTCAAAAGGGAAAAAGAAATGTTATAATCTAACTACGAACTAAGAGCTAAAGAAAGATTTTGATGTATGGATCGAACGGTATACACTACACCTAGCTGGATAACCGACTTATTACAGAGTTGATTAAAAGATCAATTTTAGTGTTTTTTTTTTTTTTGGGTTTCAGAAATTTTAGTTGGTTATTGACTAACAGAAATGATTTCTTTTTCGTGCATTCACCAACAAGAAGCCTAGTGAAATTTCACAAGTGGGGCATTAACCAAAACAATTATCAATGTAAAATAATTAACTTGATAACTTATTAAGTAAAACCATCCAACACAATATTTGCATGCCACATAACCAAGAACATGGTTTTAATAGGCCTCATGGCTTTTGTCTAGTGGTAAGAACGCAACACATAATGTGTGAATTAATCACTTGTCATGAATTTGGATGCTGCAACAGACAAAAGTCGGGTTTTTAAGTGGAGAAGAGTAAAGGGGCAAACTCACTATATATCGATTTTAAAACCATGCACCAACTGGCCATCGGGGATTTCTGGATTATCAAAAAAAACAAAAAATATGATTGTGATAGACCAAGTAAACCCAAATATACACAGAAAGGGGGTAAAAACTGGTAGAAGGGTTTATGAATTCTCTACAATTATAAACAACAGCTCCATTACGTTCTCCATCTTTTTCCTTTTTCCTGCTCTTTTGGGAGGCTATTCAGGGAGCCTGTTGGTGCACTAAAGACGTCTGAGAGTGTTTTTAGGGGCACTGATCCATGAAGAACCGGCAACTGCAAATCTCCACAATGCATTAACATGCTCTGGCAAAGCATATTCTATACCAACTCTTGGACCAACTAGTATATGTTCTGGTTCTGGCCCATCTAAGAGTTCTAAACCGCCTGTCATCATGTGCGGGAGTTTCAGTTAGTAGCTAAAAATTTGAAAGATGGAATCATAGAATGCTTACCGGCAGTATATAGAGCATGGCTAGACCATTCTGTTGATAGCCCTAATGCCTGACCAACCTACAAAAAGACCCCAATTACGCTATCATGTAAGTTTGTGATGACTGCAAATCATTCTATAGGGAAATGAAACATATTCAAGTGATCTCTATTGTTTATGAGTTACAGCCTGGGTCATGATTATAATACTCTTCTTTCAAACGCTTCAACTACTTTACGATACTATATTACTTTTTCTCCTTCTTCTTTTCTCCTTTTTGTGTGAAAGTGCTTCCTCCCAGTACTCATCGCCAGAACACAATTTCTTTTTTGATAAGATCATTGCCAGAACATAATAAAATGTTTTAAGGGCAATCAATGTGGTACTTTCAGCAAGTCAAAAGTCAGAATGATGCTTATCTTCTAATGCAAGTTTGTTCATCCTTGAAACTGTAAATGCTCATGGCAAAATGACCTTAAGGAGTTCAAAGCCTGATATTTTGGTAAACCCCTTTAAGTCACCAGTCTAGACAGGAACCATGTTTCACCTATTACGGGTCCTTATATGCTATTTTCCTATACGAACCAAAGTTGAATCTTAACAAACCTAGCAATAGAACTTACATTTTCCAGGTGTCTTTTTGCACAATTCACTAGAGCTTCTCAAATTGCTCATAATACTACTATGTCTAAGATACGAATTTCTCTCCAGCAGGATACCACCTAGCATCCAGAAATACAGGCAGCGTCTTATTCTGAGAAGTTTGAATTTTGTTTATCTAAATGCAAGAAATGGGTTAAATTCACATGATGAAAAATAGTAGACACATTTTCTCTTCACCATTCTACCAAAATGAAACAGAATAAATCATAGTTTATAAACAAGGGCTGTACGCTTTCATAGATCATTTTCACAGTTGAGATTCACAACAAAGCCCTCCCTTCAATATAGAAAGCTCATGAAAAAAATTCATAACTTGAAAGTCCTGGTCTACCCATCCTGGAGTACCACTTGAGTTGTATTTTAGTTATTAAGCATTTCTTAAGGTTGCATTTCAATTTTACACTTCGCAACTGTAAATTTCAGGTAAAATTTGATTCTACAGAAGATTTGACATACGTAAGTTCTTAGCTAGAGCAAAGTTAGAATTGTTAACAGATATGTTTAGGTTACAATCGGTTGTACAGAGCACTTGACAATAAAGGAAGGCAAATGATACTTATATGATTGCAATTCATTGGACAAGAATATGCAGAATGTCTAATTCAAAAGTTTCATTTGAAACTCGAATTACTCTAAGCTAGTAAATGTTTTCCAGTACAAATCCAACATAGGCTCAAAGTACAGTAAATATGAAGTCCATGCCAACAACAATGCAAAAGGAAGGTTCAGCCAAAGACCTTCAAGACATGTTAGAAGCAGAGGTTTCATGTTAAGGCATAACGTTTTGTTAGCCATGACACATGCAGCGGAACTCTAGAAAAAACAGTCGTACTCGATATCACTTGTACTACTTTTATACATACAGAAGTTTCCAGGGATGCCTGGAGAAGGCAGACCAGTGAATAACAGAGAGACATCAGATAAGAGTCCTTGAAGCAAATAAAATAATCACATTCAAAATAAAATCCAACACAAAGCCAAACTCTTCTGAGGGACTTAAATCAAGTAAACTTTCAGGTAACATTTGCAAAGACATGATCAAGACAATGACATTTAACAAACAGCTTGGTTTAATACTCAAAAAGGTCATAGATTACCTTTCCAGGTCCTGCAAGAAGAATAGGCTTCTCAGTTTCTAAACCCCGCCGCCGCTTAATTGTAGCCAAACCTGCAATGCTTACTCCATTATTAATTAAAACAAAACCCTAAAATAGCATTTCAATCGTTGCTAGTTTGACGAGTAGGGATGTCAAACGGTGCGGTGCGGTTGCGGGGTAAACCCGCATAAACCCGCGAAGATTTCAACCTGTCCTGCCCCCGATCATATAATTTGTTGTTTTCAACCCGCCGCGCATAAACCCGCACCCACCCTGCACCGCTTAAAATTTCTTTATTTTTTTTTTTTTTTTGAATGAATTTGATAGTAAAAATTAAGATTCATAAACTTCTTTTTCATTTTTTCTGAACTAGTATTAATTTAATTTAAACCCAAATCCTATACAAGCACCTCCCTAACAAAACTAAAGTAACAGTGTCTTGACAACTCTATGTATAGGTTGCTACACAGATTTGTATTAGAGGCTCTTGGCTCGTGACACTAGATCGGTGGGATTTATATTGATATTTTATGGATNCACCCTTCGCGGGGGCAGAACAAGGAGGTGTGACAAAGAGTTAGTCCTAATAATATGTATAGAGGATACCGACCTTACGTCACTCTGAAAGGTTTATAACATGATTCCATAAGTTGAGCATGCATTATATATATGTATCTATTTTACTCTACTGAGGCGCGCTATAGTCGGCTGGGTATGATACCTATTGTGCAACCACTGATCAGTTGGGTTTACCGAGCTCCATATGGCCGGGTATGATTCTACCGAGCCTTATGATGTCCGGGTATGTTTTTACCGAGTCCTCTTTGAGGCCGGGTACGATATGATGATGATGCCCACAGAGGCGTATGCATTTTAAAAAAAGTTTATGTATATATATGTATTATGCATTTCATGCTAGTAGCCCCCAGAGGCACTCAAATGTTACAGGTTGTATCTCCTATATCTCTCTTTACATTACTGTTCTTGTTTATGCTTTCCCGCCTTACATACTCGGTACTTTATTCATACTGACGTTCTTTTTGCCTGGGGATGCTGCGTTTCATGCTTGCAGGTCACGATTGATAGGTTGACAGTCCTCCAAGTCGGCTATCAGCTCAGTGGAAGGTGTTGGTGCACTCCACTTGCTCCGGAGTTGCCTATTTGGTCAGTATGCTTTGGGTATGTATTGATTGGTATGGCGGGGCCCTGTTCCGACCTTTATGATTTTATGTACTCTTAGAGGCTAGTAGACAGATGTCAGGTGTATGGATACTTGTATGGCCTTGTCGGCCTATGTTTTGAGTTTACAAATGGTCATATCGGCCTTATAGGCCCGTATGTCACATGTATAAGTTTGTATATCATATTGGGTCATCATATGTTGAGCGTTCCCTTATGTTTTATTCTTGTTGTCTCATGACAGGTTTTTTGGCTCACTTACCCATGATAGTATGATAATAAAGACATGTTACGTTGGTACTCGGTCGAGTAAGGCACCGGGTGCCTGTCGCGGCCCTTCGGTTTGGGTCGTGACACAAACGCTGCGAGCCTCAATTTAGGCATAATAACCTTTCATGGGATTGAATTAAGGTCCAGATTTGTTGCCTAACCCGCAACTACATAATAACATATATTAATAGTTGGTCATTCATTTTAGATTTCATAGATTAGAAGCACGATTTGGGTACTAATGTTTCTTTGTGTTACCATGTGATAAATCTGTTAATTTGACTCCTGACTCCATGATCAATGTTGTATTTAAGTCCCCACATGCTGTATTTTCGGAATTAGTATTAAGCTGTGCATAAGAGGTGAATTGGGCCAGACCTATAAATGACCCAAATAGGGTCGTGCATATGAGTCTGGATACGTCAGGACATGGGCCATAGAGTATGACCCAATGAAGTTCATATGGACCAACATTTGCTAGCCTTTAATTTTACCATATCAAGTCTTGGTTTATCCTTTTTTTTTCACTATTTGTTTGCAATGTAGGAAGACAAGAGGGGTTGCTCCGATGGTAAGCAACCTCCACTTCCAACCAAGAGGTTGTGAGTTCGAGTCTCCCCAAGAGCAAGGTGGGAAGTTCTTGGAGGGAAGGATGCCGGGGGTCTATTTGGAAACAGCCTCTCTACCTCAGGGTAGGGGTAAGGTCTGCGTACACACTACCCTCCCCAGACCCCACTAAATGGGATTTTACTGGGTTGTTGTTGTTGTTGTTGTTGTTTGCAATGTAGGAAGACTTTTCTAAATTAATGAGTTTTCTGTTTTAGTTTTTGTCTTTTTTAATTACAATTGCTATAAGCTTGGTTGTTTTAACATTATTCCTGTTGCAATGAGTCGTTTGAAAGCTGAAACTTCAATCCCCAAAGCATCAAGAAAGAAAAAGTACAAATAGCTCTGAGTCCATCTTATTTATAAAGGTGAGAAACCATATAATCTAATAAGTAAAATAATATATAGTACAACACTAGTAGACTGTTATAAGCGTCAATGTAAAATTTTGAATCAGTATGTGTTTCATGGCCAAACCCGCAGCCATACCCGCACCCGCCCCGCAACCACAANATCCATGATCAATGTTGTATTTAAGTCCCCACATGCTGTATTTTCGGAATTAGTATTAAGCTGTGCATAAGAGGTGAATTGGGCCAGACTTATAAATGACCCAAATAGGGTCGTGCATATGAGTCTGGATACTTCAGGACATGGGCCATAGAGTATGACCCAATGAAGTTCATATGGACCAACATTTGCTAGCCTTTAATTTTATTCCAATTGTTCAACAAGTTAGTTAAAAATAAATGGCATCTCCCAGCTTTTGAAGTCACCAGCTGGAATAAGCTCGAACATATGGCCTTAGATCCAATGAAATTTACCAATAGCAATTCAGTGTTCCATAATAATCAAATGAATCCAATGTGCCCTAAGTTCGATTCTTGTTTTCTGACAAAGATTTTAGACTAGATTAAGGAAAAGAATGATGAACCCCGTAGCTTGATTTAGGTGCGATCAATAATAAACCATCATGATTGCGTACACGTTCGCGTGACGTAATTATGATTCTAAAATATAAATCGAGGTATGAGTTCGCGCAACCTCGGACAACTTTCTTAATATTAATAAAGCGTTATTAATTGTGGACACGTACGCATGACATGATTCTTGACGCGCCAAACAAATGAGTACACGTACGCGTGATTCGTTTCAAATTAAAAGTGGTAAAAGATAAATGTACGTAAGTTTTAAAATGAGTAATTAGACAATTTGATTAAGCCAAGTATGATTAAAGTGACCATGCTAAAATCACAGAACTTAGGAATGCCAAACACCTTCTCCCGGGTTAACAAAATTTCTTACCCGGATTTCTGTGTTTCGCGGATTATAAAACAGAGTCAAACTTTCTCGATTCGGGATTTTAAACCGGTGACTTGGGACACCATAAATTATCCCAAGTGGTGACTCTAAATTTGAATAAATAATCCCGTTTCGATTACGTCACTTTAATTGAAAAAATTCTCTTATATCCGTTAGGGTGAAAAAGAGGTGTGACTGCTCTGGTGACTCTGCTGGGGATCAAACCCAGAATCTCTGATTCAGGGTTCAAGAATTCGAGTTTGTTAATATGATTTTTACTTGGCTTTATTTATTATTGATATTATTGTATTTTGTGGACCTAATGTGCTAATTGCCTTTTATTTACCGCTTTGTTAATATTTGTACTGTATTAAACTATTTTCTTACGCATCCCTTCCGAGTCTTCTAAAAATATGGTGCACACGTATGCGTGACCCACTTTTTTGTTAGAAGTCATACCAAATAGAACGAGGCTTGGGTCAGTAACAAGGCCGAGTAGACTTTCATGCTCCTAGTGCGTTGGCCCCACCTTGGCTCGAGCTGTCCGCTTGGGTAAGCCAGCCTCATGCCAAATCCCTAGTAGGAATGATTATTTGCATCACGTGCATTTGACCGTAGGGACTCAACACAGGGATTGAGTCCGTCTAGGATAGGTGTACGCAAAATAACAGGCCATTCTGATGCATCTTACGTGCTATTTTTCCATTTATTTGTTTCGGCTTGCATGTTGACCGGCTAGGAAAAGAAAATCAAGAGAAAAATCAAGAGTGAGATAGGAAGGAAATAAAGCCCGATTCTGAAAACCCCAGTATTTGAAAATATCCCGAAACTCTGCCGAAATTTTTCAAAAAAAAAGTTGAAAAAAAAGTAGAGAAAAAGGGAAAAAAGTCATTTCAAAATGAGCCAATAATATGTTTCTACCGATTATGTCAAAATTGACCAAACTACACAGGTCTGATTATCACCGGATGTGGGATACGTAGGCAACCTACATAAGGTTCATCCTCATTTTGCAAAAATAACCAAATAAAATAAAGTGTGCTCTAGTGCTTTGGTCAAAAGAATAAGCCGACCCAGCTTCGATTATGTCTTAAACTGTTCTTACCGGGATAGCCTTAGAGAATCTTTCAATTATCGAAGGGCTGTTTTCGTAAAGAATGGATAAGTCTGTCAGTAAGGTGTCATTTTTCCATAAAGTAACCTCCCCCGGCCTCAAAATTCATTTGGAATTGTGAAGGGGCCATGTTTACAAAAATGACCACTTTTTGTTAAAATGGCATGAGGGGCCATTCTCCTTTAGAAATTGAAAACTTGTTTCACAAAAAGAGTCCACCGGAGTCAACCCTAACCGTAACCATCCACATGTACAAATGAACACTGTCCAGAACCCGTCACTATTGGTCATAGAATAGGCTCAGCTGCAGCTTCGTATGTGGTGGTATGATTTAGATGGAGATGGTTAGGATTGGGTAAAAGAGCATTTGGGTGCCCTTATAGACATTATGGAAATCAAACCATTGGCGGATCTAATCAAGGCCTTGGTAACCTTTTGGGATCCTGTCCACAATGTTTTCTGTTTCTCGGATTTTGAGCTCACCCCTACTCTGGAGGAAATAGCCGGATATATTAACTTTGGTCGGGAATTGAGAAAACAACAACTTATATTCCAAAGGGATCCCTCTGTGCACGAATTCTTTGATCTCCTGAATATCAGCAAGCAAATGAAGAAGGCCCATGTAAACACATGATGTTGTTCCTTTTACTTCTTGTATTCCAGGTTTGGGCACTCAGTTGGGTTCGAAACGCACGAAAATGGATTAAACAACAAAGAAGATAAGAGCATCTGGCAAATTCATCGTCGGTTTGCTTTCATAGTGGCATTTTTGGGAATTATAGTCTTTCTGAATGCAGAAGGGACAATAGATATCCGCATGGACAGAATTGCACAAATCCTTACTACTAAAAAAGATCATACACTTGCTCCGTTAGTGCTGGTAGACATTTATCGAGCATTAACATTGTGTAAGTCCAGGGCTTAATTCTTAGAAGGTTGTAACATTCTTCTGCAAATGTGGTTAATCGAGCATCTTCGCCATCATCCCAAATTCTTGAGTTATGGCTTGAGCAAGGACAACTTTATCAAGAGTTATGAGGAAAGGGTGAAAGACTACAGTTCTCCTGAAGGGTTTGAAGCCTGGGTCTCCCACTTAAGAACTTTAAAGGCAAGTCAGATTGAATGGACTCTAGGATGGCTTCCAATAACGGAAGCCATGACGGCTACAAAAGGCTACCTAATGTTGATGGGTTTAAGAAGTGTCCAACCATACGCACCGCAAAGAGTTTTAAGGCAGTTGGGAAGATATCAAGTGGTTCTCGAAGATTAAGATTTGAGTACCCAGGTCATTGAGCTACACCCAGAAGCTACATTATTGGAGGCTTTAGTCCAACAAGATTGGAATGGTTGCCGATATCTGAAAAATAGAACTCAGGTACCAGATCTCGCGAGAGGAGAAGTGGACCCAGATTATGCCGTGTGGTTTGAGAGAAGGTCTTATGCTAATAATGAGCCAGAGCCCGAGCCCGAAAGGCCCGCCAAGAGGCCTCATGTTCAGGTTTTCGATGATAAAATCTGGGAAAGGTTGGCCTGGGGATAAAAGGAGAAAAAATATCAAGCCACCATTCACACCTTGGAAGAAAAGTCGAGAAACGTCGCATTTGATAATGATCTACAAGTGCAAGAAGCTGAAGCTGAAAGGAGAAGGTTGACCTAAGAAAATGAAGCCCTCCGAGATTAGATTTAGAGGATGAAGATAATTGCTGAAAACCTGGCCAGAAGCAGAAAAGATGAAAAACTCATAAACAATCTTAGACAAAAAGTGTGTGATTATGGGACTCACTTGGAAAAATCCGAAGAGGAATTGGAAAAAGCCCAGGCAAAGTTGGCAAAGAATGTAGAAAAGCGGACGAGGTTTGTTCAACAGTTGAGGGAAAAGTATGATAGAGAAGTCACGTTTTAAAAGAAGAAGCTGACTACTTTTGAGAATGAAATGGCCCAGCAAACAAAGAATTTCAAAGTAGAAAGAGAGCATTGCTCTTCACTAATTTGTCGACTAGAAGAAAGCATGCAACAGTTGCAGAACCAAAACAATATAGATACACAAGTGTTGGAAGCTCGGGCACAGCAAATTGGGCGTCTGCTTCAGGAGAAAGGTGTTATCAGAACAAGGATTAAAGAGATAGCCGACTATGTCATGATGAAATATTACGAATGTGAAGACATGACGAGGTCTATGTTCTTTGCTTCTGTGATGACATTCGTTCACCGGGTGATGGCTGACTTGGACTGTCTTCAACAGGACATTGCACGAAGACTCGTGCAAAGACCGAATAATGTTCCGCAGGCTCCAAGGGTACCGATGGAGGCTCTTATGTATTCTTGACTTTCTTTTGGTTTTAAGTCTATATTTCATTTTTCAAGTCTGGAGGTCTATTTTGTTTTTCCTGTTTAGAGTCTGTATGTCAGAGTCCTTGTAATAGAAAATCCAAAAAGATTTTATTTAATGAAATATTTAAAACCCCAAAAAAAATTCTTTCTTTTATTTCACATTTATCCCTTGAACTATGTAATGATCTGATTCATGCGGTGTCATGATACGTAGGCAATCCCCATAGGATTCGATCATAACCATAGAGTAAACAAGAAGAGAGAAAAGTGGCAGAGCAAAAGAGAGCGCAAAAAATAAAAAGGGAGCGACAGGAACTAAGTGAGAAAATCAATAGTGACTAAAGGAAAGCAAGAGGGAAAGAAAAGAAAGTGCAGAGTGAAAAGAGTTATTTAAGTCCCAGATGAAGCATGCAACCGTTCAAACACACGATAGAAGCATTTAACTGTTTAAGTGCATTGCATCCCAAACGTACGATTGCCTATCTGTTAAGCTCATAAAAACTAACAAGTTTGTTGTTGCCATCAGTACAAGAAGGTGGCTAGTTTGCTTGGTATTCTAGCAAGTCATCTATGGTTAGCAAAGAATTAGACGCAAGTGTTGTTGACCCACCGAGAGAGATGGTGGAATCTGAGTCTGGTTTGAAAGAAGAGGCATACAAGATGAAGCACCAAATGGCCAAAATGTATCAAGCATGGATTAGGGGACATCCTCCACCGTCATTCCCTGCCAGTTATACAGAAAACCCTACTTTCATCCCACCACTATCACAAGCCCAAGATCCCACTATTGTTGATCTTTCCCCTTACCATGCACCAGGCTTTACCCCTTACCACCACTATCCTAACACTTCAACCCAAAATTTCCAAGCTCCACCAGCCAAGACACCCGCATACCCCACTCCGCCATCTACCCCTGTCTTCGTAGCCCATCCGCAAGCTACCCTCCATCGATCTTCTAGTGAAACAGAGTTCCAAGCTCAAGATACTCAATACTATGCTCCAGAGCCCACTTTCAAAATCCTGGATCATTACTCCTACACTCCTCACTTTGAACCTCCTGTCGAAACTGAGAAACCACCCAAGAACATGGAGTAAGAGGAGATATTTAGGAAATTAAAGAGTTTGGAGCAATCATTGAGGAATATGCAAGGGTTAGGAGGCCAAGTGAGTGTGGCTTATAAGGATTTATGCTTGTTTACCGATGTCCAGTTACCTTCCGGGTTCAAGATGCCCAAGTTTGACTTGTACGATGGGCATGGAGACCCCGTGCCCCACTTAAGAGGGTTTTGCAGCAAGATGAGGGGTACTGATGGGAAAGATGAATTGCTGATGGCATATTTTAGTCAAAGTTTTAGTGGTGCAGTATTGGAATGGTACACTTTCCAGGACAATAGCAGGTGGTGCACTTGGGACGACTTGGCTCAGGCTTTCGCTCGGCATTTTCAATACAACGTAGAAATTGTCCCAGATCGCCTATCCTTGACTAAGATAGAGAAAAAACCCGGTGAGAGCTTCAGAGAGTATGGCTTCCGGTGGAGAGAACAGGCTTCACGGGTCAACCCTCCAATGGAATAAGATGAAATGGTGGAATATATTCTTCAGGCTTTGGAGCCTACTTACTTTGGCCATCTGATCTCGGCCATAGGTAAGTCTTTCAATGAAGTGGTAAAGATGGGAGGAATAGTGGAAGAAGGACTCAAATCAAGCAATATCATGAGTTACTCCGCCATAAAAGCAACCACACAAGCGATCCAAAGTGGCACTGGGGGTGTGTTAGGGAAAAATAAGAAAGAGGATATTGCTATGGTCACCTTAGGATCGTGGCATCGCCCAAGGGGTTCACCCCACCATTACACCCAGCCTCGACCCCAACTTCAAAGCTACACCAAGCTCCATATAATCCACACCAACACTACTTCCCACCACAAGACCCTCAATATTCAGTTAGACCCCCCCAATACCACGTCCACCACGCACAGTCATATGCTCAACTCCCTCCTTACCCGCAATGGCATGCTCCAACTTCATAAAATCCTTATCCACCCCCACAAACATACCGAAACCCTACTGGTCCAAGCTTTCGACCCATGCCGAAGTATAAAAGGGAAAGGCAGCAGCGAAAACAGACTTTCACCCTACTTGGAGAGTCCTATGCCAGTTTGTTTCAAAGGTTGAGGTAGTTGGATGTTTTGAGGCCGATTGAGTCAAAGTTACCAAATCCCCCTCCAAAGAACCTGGATTATTACCTTAGGTGCGCATATTGTTCTAATGCTCCGGGGCACAACACAGAAAAGTGTTGGAATTTGAAGAGCGCAATCCAAGAGCTTATCAATACAAATCAAATTATGATCCAGAGCCCGAAAGCGCCAAACATCAACCAAAATCCTCTGCTGGTCCATGCCAAAATGCACATGATTGAGATAGTGCATAAGGATGGGGAGCCCGAGAAGCCTTCAAAGTCTGTCATGATGATCCGTTCCAATGAAAGTACTTCAGTCAAAACTCCAGTTATTACAAATGCACATCCTCGACAGCTGAAGGGCTGACAAACAAGCTAAGTGCACCCAACGTTAAGGCGCTTGTATTAATCGTGAAAGGATTCCTAGATGATGTTGAAGCAAAGAAAGGAAAGACGAAAGTGATCATGCCAGGGATAGCAAGTAAGCCTGTCATAATCATGGAAGGGGCTCGCATTGCCCTTGTTGTTATTAAACCCATGACCCAACTACCAATAGATAACACCAAGGCTGTTCCATGGAATTACAAGTTAGTGATAGTAACTTATAAAGGGAAAGAAGTGGAAGAGGAAGTTAATGAAACCCGGGGGTTGACTCGTTCGGGGAGATGCTTTACCCTAGAGGAATTAAGGAAAACTAAGCCATTGAAAGATAGCCCAATCTCAGTAAAGTAGCCAGTTACCGAAGAGGAGGCGGAAGAATTCTTGAGAAAAATGAAGGCGCAGGACTACTCTATCGTGGAATAGTTAAGGAAAACACAAGCTCGGATTTCTCTTCTATCATTATTGATACATTCGGATGAACACCGTCGGGCCCTCATGGGGATTTTGAATGAGGCTTATGTTCCTGATAAGATCACAAAGAACCATTTGGAGAAGATTGCTAATAAGATATTCGAGGCAAACATGATCACTTTCTCGGATGACAAACTTCCCTTGGAGGGTACAGAACACAATCGAGCTCTTTATCTTACAGTGAAATGCAAGGATTCTTTGGTCTTGAGGGTACTAGTTGATAGTGGTTCTAGCGCAAATATTTTCCCTCTCTCCACTTTGAAAAAGTTGAAAATCGGTACTAAAAGGATCCACTAGAACAGTATATGTGTTCGAGGTTTTGACGGAGGGGGAAGGATTCTGTTGGCGATATCATGCTCGGACTAACAATAGGACAAGTTGAATTCACTATGGAGTTCCAGGTGCTAGATGTGGCTGTCTCCTACAATATTCTATTAGGCAGGCCCTGCATATATGTTGCCAAGGCAGTCCCATCTTCTCTACACCAAATGGTAAAGTTCGAGTAGGACAGATAGGAAATCATTGT